TATAAAAATAGAAACAATTGAAGCTAAATACCTGAAAAGGCTATTATTATGTAAAATTATATGTGTTGTAACAATTATGTAATTTGATGTTTTGACAATTTTGCTGATGAGAACTCAAAGCCGTTATAACGATGTACTTGTAATGTGAACAAATGTTACAATGATATAATAAACAAAGAAAAAAAAATGTAAAATGGAAAGGGAGAAATAAATAGAGGGGGTAGGAACATTAGGAAGGGAATAACGACTGAAAGATGGGAAGATATGTATGCGATAGCGATTCCGTATCGCTCTATTTATTCAATCCCTGTGATTGTCTTTCTATGCATCACAGAAATGAATCGTTTATTATGCGATAGTCTGAAATGACAGACGGAGATCCTGTTTTTTTTATTAATGTCCTTAATTATAGATGTTCCTTAACTCTGGTTTGAAGTCGTCGAATTAATACTTATAGGGAATATTAGATATTAATTTATCGTTCATATCGAAATATTGTATTCAGTAATTTAACGTTTTTATTTTAAATATTGACCCGATAGAGAGAGAAGTTGAAACGTATGTTTTTATATGTACAATATACATGAAATTTAATATATAGCATAAAACACCTAGCTTGGCTTGTAGCCCTTTCCTTGTTTATTTATTAAGTAGACATGTTTAAAAAAAATACTTAAGATAAAATGAGAAACATTTTATTTAAGCTGTAAAATTGCTTTGTCAAATAAAAATATTGACCTTATTGAAATGTTTTACATATACAAGGAAAAAATAATTGTACTGAAGTATCTAAAAATTTAGCTAAAGATAAAGATTTGAAAATTTTGCTAGATTATCAAATAATTACATAAAACATTTAAGCTTTGATTACAAGGCTGCAAAAAGTTTTAACATTTTATCAATTACTTTGAGTGTTTTACGTAATTATTTCTATGACCCAAATAAAATTATTTTCAGATATTTGGCCAAATCTTTAGATACTTCATCAAACTCATTCTTCTCATGCATATAATATTAATTTTACTCTCTAAATCTGAATCAGTGGATAATCACTGATATCAATGCCAAGTACGCCACTGATAATGAATGAAATATGAGATCCCTAACGTAGCTTTGTTATGTAATCCAACTAACTTTGTTTTAGTGCATAAATTCAATGAATATGGTATGGTTGGAAGATTGAAATTAACGTGCAAATATCAGTATTTATATGATGCTCGGGTGAACTTCCAACGTCCGATTATTATGAATTTTGGTAGAAATACTCTAAATGACGTCAAATGAATGCCCTTGATTAGATTTTCACCGACAAGAAAGTTTAATGCCAAAAATATTTGAATAAAGTTATGGAAGTTTGTGCTTATTATGGTAAATATCAACAATAATAGAAGCAGCTCCGATGCTTTTGATCTTAACATATGTTTAGCATTGATTTAGAAAATATAGTAAATTAAAGTTCCATAATATGTAGAGGATAAGTTTGAAAAATAATGTTTTTTTTACTATATAGAACACAAATTTTCTGCTTTAAAATATATTTTTCCTATTAGCGTGCGCAAAGTTCGTACTTTGCGCACGCATTTCCGTGCGCAAAGTAGCCTATTACAGTGGTTGTGGATCATCTGTTGCGACTTGGGGCGCGAGCATGCGCGTTCGGTGGCGCCGTGGACGGTGCGACAACGTACTTGTACTTTAGTGACAGGCAAGATGGCCGAACAAAACGATTCAAATAATGAAAATGTGTCCGAGAATGTTCCTCCTGAAATGCTTGTTGCAGCAAAGGAAATTGCCTTAAATTCGTTACCAATTATATCAAAGCAAAAGTATACAGCTGTATATAATGAGTTCAAAAAATGGCGCAGTACAAGGAATACAAAATTATATAAATACTCTAGGAATTCAACAATATTTTTGTAAAGTTATCTTGAGATGCAGACATTAATTGTTCAGTAAATAAATAAAATTTATTTGTTATAAACTAATAGTGAATCTCAATGAAATTTTGCATAAGTCATGTTTAGTACTTAATATATTTATTTATAACATTTAGATTTTTCTTATTATTTTAACACTTTTTGTTTATAACAATAAAACTAATAACAAATAAAATAAATAATCTATAAAAATGTATTGCTCAATAAAACCAGAATGTTATGAACACAACTTTCACATGTATGTAGTTTGTTTAAAGCATAAATATTAATATATGTGTTTTATGCCCTTACAACCTCCTTAAGGGGCGCACGACTTCCATAATTGTACTGTTGCACGTGGGTTTTGACTTTCCACATGAAGCGACTTTCATCCTACTCCCCTCTCTGCCAAAGGGGCGTACTTTCATAATTGTACTGTTGCATATAGGTTTAACAATAAATATTTTTCTTCTATATACGCATCCTCTCCATTCAACTTCTATATAAACTGCGATAAACATGTAGTATACTGAAAATAAGAAGCACAAACTTCCATAACTTCATTGAAACATTTTTGGCATTAAACATTTTTGTCGGTGAAAATCCATTCAAGGGCATTCATTTGACGTCATTTGGAGTATTTCTGCCAAAATTCATGACAATCGGGTGTTGGACGTTTTCGGAAGTTTATCCTGATGCTCAAACGTTCTTCCTTTTTTAGTTGAACTTCACTGGGTAATTAGTGACTATCCACTGATTTAGATTTAGAGAGTATATGGAAAATATAAATTTTTTAAATTCCGGTCACTCTTTTACAGACTATACACCTAATATATTCTTAAATGTGACGCATACTAAAAAAATACAATTAAAATATAAGATATTTTTTTAACAAAAGATACATATTTGTATGCCTTATTTATACCGTATTATTGTATATCACATTTTTTTAAGATCTCTATTCTTGATTTCTTTATTTCTAATATTATTTTATTTTATTTCCATTCCCCTAATATTTTTTCTATTGTACGCACTGCTTTGTGTAAAATGCTGTACAGGTCATATTATTGGCGGCATTTGTTCAAAAGCGTAGATGCCAATATCTTATCGCTATAGGTAGATAGAATAATGTACAAAGCGACCATCGGACGCCCGACATTGAACGAAAATATATTCTCGGCGCATTATACTAACGAAAGACGATTATGCTCGGCCGCTGTTTTTCGTAGACTGGTACGACCGAGGACGGTACGAGACACCGCGCATTGCAAAGGCAAATCTAATTGTTTAGAAATTGCACGGATCGCGAACAATTAGCTGCATGCACGCGTGCAGAGTCGAAATTACCAGCGACTCCGTGATCGTAAGGATTATTACGGCGGTGCACATAAACGGTTGAATAATTTAAATTAATATCATAGCTAAGAAACCGCTAACGATTGAAATGACTTTCTTGGTGAGGAAACGAGGGTCTGCGCCTTCTTTCCACCTACAGCTAAATATACTCAAAATCTCCCATTCGGCGCAATAACGTGGTGATTATACGTGAGCATTGAACGCGTAATATTTATGATCCGCAATTAACTTTTATAAGCTCCTTTTCGTTAAAAAAAAATTCACATAAATTAAACGTTTGCAAAGCAATTTTTAATTTCGGCCGCATTAACGAGTTAACCGCAAAGTATCGCGGTGGATAAATCTGCCATTTAAAGCAAGAATGCTCTTTCAATAAACGTCACGTCTACCCGCAAAGAACCTTGTACTAATTATATGGAAAATTGGGGCCTCGGCGAAATGAGTTCGTTTTCACGTATGTTGTAGCTTAACTTATAACGTGATAAACGAAAACTGTAATAAATACAAGCCTCAGTAATGAATAATTCTTAACTTGTAGTGTAATTCTATTATAACTCAAGACCTATCCGTTATCGAACTTTCTGTCTCTATTACATCTTTTATTAATCATATTATATAAACATTAAGCAACACTGAAAAAACATTTACTAAATCTTAATACAAATTTTTTTTTTAACAGTACTAACTTAATATTTACTTACAGTAAATATTTATTCCATAAAAATGCGATAATTAATGGTTCTTGTATCAAATAAATAATATTTACATTTAGTAAATATTCAGCTAGTATTATTTAAACAAATATTTATTAAAATTTAATACATTTTTCTCCAACAATAAACAAAACAGTGTACAATAAACATGAAAACAAACTCATTTCACCGAGACCTAATTTTCTACATATAATTAATGCGGAGTCTCTTACTTATAAAGTAAGTACATAGAATTTTTCAAATCGATTTGTTATATTAAAAAAAAGATGTAATAATGACATTAGTATGAAATAAAGATTGCGATTAAGCTAACGATTCGACGAACGTAACAAATCGCATAACATTGCGTCGAGAAATTATCCGAAAAACTTGTAAAGTTTTGACGAGATAAGTAAGTAAAACGTCGACAAACTTCAGTGGAAACTTTAATAAGAATGGTGATTTACCGCGAGACAAAGGAAAGACAAGTGCGATGGGTGATGATGGCTCCATCTCCCCAATTTTCCAAATTTGTGCGACAGTCAAAAATTCAATGAGGACGGTGAGCGGGCATGTGTACACGTGTTATAGAGAGGCAAAAGTCGCTAGAATGGTTGACATTAACGACCGACCGTCACGAGACGCCACACGACGACGAAACGAGATTTTCGCGAAGCTCCTCGATAAATCTTGGGGACAGACATAATCGCGGCCGCGGAAAACGCTGCACGAGCACGATTGGTAGGGAATTAATGAATATCATATGATGGATCGCGCGGGAGCATGCATCATACAACTCTTTATGCGGGCACGTGGATTTTTAACATAATTTGGTGTGCAAACTAATTTATTTAATTTATTGTGTAATTAAGAATCCGCATCTCATAATCATCTAATTATGAAACGCAATAATGTTGTTAATGGTTAGAAAAATTACGCAACAATTTTGATAATGCAATAATATAAATTCTAATGTTTTTGTTTTAATTCTTAATTGATATACATTTAATATATAATAATATTCTTGTTCTAAACTCACCACTGTATTGCTCTTGCCATGCCAAAGCTGCACAGAGAAGCGCCAGAGTCTTACCGCTGCCAGTAGGGCTTTCCAAGAGACAATTTTGCTCCTTAGTACATCCTAGAATAAGCTGCACACACAATTTTCAACATAATTAATGATCCATTTATAATGTGATCTTTATATTTTTACTCCTTCCACTTGCAATCTGATTTTCTTTTGTCAAGCTCAAATTTTTTTTATTGTTTCAAACTTTCAAAAAATGTGGAAAAATTCAGCATTATTTTTCAACATCTTTATTACATTAATAAATAATTGTTTTAACTCATTTAATAGTAAAATTTGAACAAAAATTATGGTGGAAATTTGAGTGAAGTTTCACTTGTGATAAAAAAAAAACTTAGATTGCAGACAGAAGGCTAATAAAACTATTATGAAAGAACAATGACATCGACTTAACTATATAATCATAGTACAACTATATAATCATACTCACACTATTCATCACTGCTATTTGACATGGATATGGCTTAACAGGAAGTTTGACTCTGGTTCCAGCAATCATTATATTATGTTGTAGTCCAACTTGAGGTGGTGAAGCGTCTTTCTTGGGAAAATCAAAATTTATGAACTCATCGTCACTGTAGCTTGAATTTGAACTTTTTGAATTATTTCTCATTAGCTTTTGTTTTTTGTTAGGTGCCTCTATCATCTTTCTTTTCGGAGTTCTACATTCATATGAAGTACTACATTCAGGAAATATGCTCAGTGGATCAAAAATTGGTTTATTCCAATTAAACATTGATTGGCTCTTAGAAGTATTATTATCAGGAACATTATCAACAATAATATCTCCGTCACTATCAAAATCATCTGATATATCATGTTTCAAATTATACTTGGAAGCATCTGTCGCACTATTCAGAATGTTAGTTGTTCCACTTACATTTGTATATTCCTCTGTACTTTTCCACATATTCGATGATAAATCAACGCTATCATCGTCTGATATCTCTATTAGATCAATGTGTTTATTTTGTAGCCTATTGCTATTGTTCCTTTTCAAAGACAGCCTCGATTGCCCCTTCATGCTAAAAGAATATAAAACCGATTAAATAAACGAACAAAACTAGAAGCTTTTGTCGAGCATATCTAGCAACGCGAAAAGTCTTCAAAAGATAAATCTAAGCGTCAGTCGAGGTAGGTTTATCACACCACGCTTATGCTTAGATCACCAAGCTAACCTATAAAACATTTGTCTCGTGACACATGGATAGTGCCTACCTTGATACTCCAAGCCACTCGTCAATCTTGGCTTTGAGAAACGCGCATATAAACGATCCTATCACAGTAATGATGATGCAAATCACGATCATCAATCAACACCTGTAGAACGTAACGCATGCGGCCTTGCCGTAAACACGGCACGTATGCTTTATTGCTTTCCCGCCGTATGCTTCCTAACCTCGCAGATACTCGTTCGCTTCTTCGTCTCCAAATCGATCTTTTATATCGAGTTTCCTTTCATTACTATTTATCGCATTAATTACTTTGTGCGATGACTACTCGGAAGCAAACATTTCGTGTCGTAAAACTCCATTGCACTACGAAACGAACAAATGATCAAAACATTACAATCCCGACAGCTAGGCCACGTGACTTGTTTAAACGTGCGTTCATACAGTATACTTAAGACTGCGGTCAGGGCCGGCCGGTTTTATGCCCGTTTCTACCATGCAGTTTAACTTTAATCTCGGTTCAACTAATTCTCCATCTTTTTCTAGTTTTAAGAATAAGAAAAAGGTGAAGAGTAAGTTGAACCAAGATTAAAGTTAATCCACATTGGTAGAAACGGAGATTAGGGACATGCACCGCGCTTTTATCAGCCCCGTGTGGCAAAGTTCCTTAATAAAGCAATTAATGTTAAATAATTATTGACAATATAAGTTTTTAAAATTATAATCAGTAAATTATAGTATATTTTATTTGCATATATTTGATTACTTAGGCCCAGTTTCACGACTGACGGTTAACTCTTAATCGAAGTTCAACTTATTCATTATCTCTTTTCAATTCTAGAATTGGAAAAAGATGAGAAATAAGTTGAACCTCGGTTAAGAGTTAACCGTGAGTTGTGAAACTAGGCTTTATTACACATTTCATTACTGGTAATATAATATTGTAATGTATTTATTATATTAATTAAAAAATGTTTTTGTGAGGCTGGATTTAATCGCGAATTGACTTCTCACTTAGTAATGACATCTCTCTGTAGTAACATCATTTTGTAAAATATCGTTAATCTGAATCCATTGAAATATTTCTAACATGTACGGTTTGTTTTATTCGGTAAAATATACAACAGGCGATTTAGAAAATTTCAAACATCGACAATAATTTAACGATGATCTGACGACTTGAATATTCTAGACAACTTAATTTTTCAACATTATGGATTGTTATCAACATATTCAATTACACTGAAGAGTATCAGGGCTGAAACGTTCGTCTGTATTTAATTAATAATATAAATTTACACGAATAACTTGTGTCGGCTCACATTGGTTTATCCTTTGTTTCATAATATTATTTAAATTGCTAGTCAATTTAATTGTGATATTATTACTCTGGTTTTGTTAATAAGTGCGTTTTAAGGGTATCCTAAAGAGGTTGCGTGAGATATAAGTATGGTAGTATATAAAGACATGTCGATGCGCTAGAAAAACAGCCACCTCTGGTGCGAGCTCACTTTAAGATCCCCTTAAGACCAAAAATATTTCGGTACGCGTTTGCAGAATTGGATATGTATATAAATTCACAACGAAAATCTAAGCACAATTGTAAGATCCAGCTCAATCGCATAAAAGCCTTTTTACGTTTATTAGTTGTGTATACCACACATGCAGTCTTGAAGACACTTTTATGTTTAAAATATGTTTAAACTGTTATTATTATTCTTATTAAAAAATGTGTTTTTATCTTGGTTGTAATAATTTTTCTTTGAATTCCAAGAATCAGCCCCGCATTCTTTTTTGCGCCGGCCGGGGCCCCGCGTTAACTAGAACTGATCCTGACTGCTCCGCTTGCTTCTTCCAAAGCTGTGTTCAAATTTACTGCCAACACTGAAAATGCTATAGTTTACGTTATGTGCACTATCAATTTTCAGTACTGGTAGTCAATTTTGGAACACAACTCAAATGTCCTGAACGCAACGCTCCAAACGCTACGCTTCGATTGTTCCATTACTATTCTGAATGCTACAATTGCTACTTGAACGCTCCAGCCAATTCATCTCTCGAAGTGAGGCAGTTGGAGCAAAGCAGGAGCAAAAACAATGACGTATTGATGACGTAATCAGAGTTGCTGAAAGCGTTCCGAAACGTCAAATGGACCAGTCATGTTAGTGCTACGAATGCTCTCTCTATAGGGTTTGAAGCGTTAAGTGGACGTGAGCCTCTCTCTTGCGCGTCATTTCATAAATATTTACTTGACGTCGTACAAAAATGTTTAAATAGCATCAGACAGTGCTTTAATAATATTTACGATACGCTTGTTGTGCACGGTTCGTCTTCTCATTTAAAAGTTTTTGTGTTTTACCTGGAATAGTTGTAAATATATATGTACAGATATGTATACATATATGTATAATATACTTGAAATTATCGCCCAATTTCTACGCAACGAATGATTTTGCTGAAGTATCTAAAAATTTCGGTACAAACTTGAAAAGAATTTTATTAGACCATCAAAATAATCATGTAGAAAACTCAAGCATGATGAGCAATATTGTAAAAAGTTTTAACTTTACAACAATCAGTTTGACCGTCTTACGTAATCATTTTAATAGTCTAACGAAATAATTTTCACATCTATATCTAAATTTTTTAATCAGCAAAAGTGTTTTTTTTTTCATATATGAGAGTGTCAAGAAAAAATTGAGTTCTCCTGGACATTTAGGAAGCTTTCCAGCAAGGGACATAGGCGATACAAAATGACACAGTGTTTAACACAATGCTTTCCAACAACGACACAACACGACACAGGTTTACACAGTCAAAAAGGGTGCTTTTCAGTACATCAAGCGTATACAAGCGACATGATGTACGATTTCGTGTTTTTCACCTATTACACAAGTCAATACAATCGTACACAACTAAAATGCTGTGTCGTCATTTTATATTAGTACTTCATGATACCAAATTTTTACATTTCATTATCATTATTTTTCTAGAAGTAATATTTCAATAAGAAGTTTCAAGATTATATTTGATATTTTTATATGCATGTATAAAACCTTTTCCTTTATTTCACTATGATGGTGAAGTAAAAAATCCAAGCAACGTTTCAGCTTCAAATCGACACTGTGTTGCTAGAATTAAGGCTTGTGTGTTAAATACATGGCTATTCATTATCAATCATTTAGAAAAAATAAAAGATTTCAGAGTGTTGAAAAAATTTAACAATTCTTTTAAACAACAAGTTACTTTATACTTTACTTTAGTATATTACTCTGTATTAATTGCACCTAGCTGGAAAGCTTCCTTAATCGCTGAAAGATTCGAAAAGATATCCGGAGCCGAGGCGGGATATATTTTCAAAAACATTAAATTTCGATTGACATGTCTCTCGAGTTTCGAATACTGGAGACCTAGTTAAAGCCGACGACGCCGACTGGAATCAAGACTGATGGCAGACGTGCGCGCAGAATACAGAAGGCTGTCGTTGCCCTTGGAGTAGCTCTAACTTTGCCGACGTGAATCCTTATCAAATCGTATCCGAAATTCCCACGCGCGCGCTCACGCATATCGGGAGCGTGAACCGGGTATCAGGAGGCTCCGTCACGTATGCGCCAGACATGAAATTGCTTGCTCGTACCTCACTTTCAGCTTTTCAGCTCACGTGCCGTACCAAACAGTTGCATTGGCTTCTTGCACTTTCACACAGTTATGATGGAGATCTTAACGATCGCGCCGACATAAGATGAAGCATATTCGTCGAGAAAACGCAGCATTCTCAGCGTGCTTCCTCCGTCGTTAACGAGATACCTCAAGATACTTTTCTCACGTTCTGCAAACGTACATGTAAACCAGGTAAACATAATTCGATAAGTTGGTATTACATTTGTCGTGCGACATGCTAAAATATTATTTAGATATTTGCCTGTCAAATAAAAAAGTAACGATTTTATTGTAAAGAACAATTATAATATAAATCTTTGTACCCCGACTTGACACTTATTACAAAGTTGATGAATTTCAGCACCTTGGCGTCTTAGATCGGCGACATTTATGTATTCTCTTTTTCTCATGCTAATCTCAATCTCTTATAACTTATTACTTTTATCAATTTTTTGTAAATTTCGATAACAATGACAATCTTAAACCTTTATTTTATTTTCATATTTCTCCTGAATATAGTAATATTATATTATTCTTAAGGCCACAGCACAGACTCTTGACTAATTAATTTGTCTAACTGACTAGTCATTATTGCGATAAAATATTTTACTTCAATAAATATTCTTATATTTTTGTACATAAAATATTTTTTATTCAATAAATATATTTATTAGTATTTAATTAAGTATTTAAATTAAATAATTGTGGATATGTATGCTACTATATACAATCTTTCTTACAAATAATTCAATAAAAAATAAATAATTTTACTCACCAGTTACGTTCTACCAATACTCTCTCCACCCAAAAAATGTTCCGTATCAGTTTCATCCTGGAAATAATGAAAACCTGAAAAGAACATTTTACTATATACATATATATGTATATACACTACATATATATGTATATACTATTGTATATACTATCGTATATATGTAATACAATCTAATTTTATACAATTTATAATTTATTCATGCACAAATTTTGTGAAGCAGTCACAACATGAATTATAATATAAATACTCGTATTAATGTATTGTAATAATATAAATTATATAAAATAATATAATATAAATAATATAATAATATAATATAATATAATTATTATTTATAAGAAGAAAAGAAGGAAGAAGAAGCTGTGATCATCAAAGAAGAAAGTAATGATTATTACTACCAATTATCACCAACTAATACAATTAATTATTATTATTATTATTTATTGTGTATAGAGACATTACAAAACATACACAAATGGTGAAGCATCAGCAGAACTGCTGTTACTAAGCCTCTCAGAAATTCGTGCACATTTTTTTATAAATCTCTTGACCACATAATCATTCTCTTTCTTTCTTTTTCTACTTTTATACACGTAGTTTTCTGTAGATCAAAAAAGTATAAAATTGTAATGACTATGGTACATTTATAAAATAATATACACGAGTTAAAAAACAACATAATAGTCTCTGAGGGACATCTCCTCGGAGAAGTCCGTAGGACGTAGACATCTCTTGGACAACTGAGTTGTATGGGATTTTTACATGCAAATTTTCCGATTTTTATTTTCGTCAGGGATGCATGCGATATAATCATGATTTAAATGCTCAATGTGCTATTGAAGACGCAACTAATACAAAAATGCGTCATCCTGATAGAAATATATGCAATTTTCCTAAACACATATCCAGTCACTATCTATAATATTCTCATTAGTTGTGCCAATACTGAGCAGGAAATGGACAAAAACTTGATAAAATTTTA